GRAAWWAWWAWTAGCRTACGTTTGACYCCTAGGTCGCRATGCCCAAGGGTATGTGTAAAGTTTTTCATTGTTTTTGCTATGATTTTGTTAAGGRTTTTTTGACTCACACCAGCAAAAACGTCCATAGAAGACTAGGAGATGTACTCAATAGTTTAGCTGCAATTGGGATGATATCAAAAGAAGGGAGAATTGTCAAATGGTTAGGTTATCCAAACWGCGAAGAAGAAGAAGTAAAGAAGCTAAAGGTGCATTAGTATTTCCAAACGGCCGAATTAAGATATCATTTGACTTATATGATGGAATCAAAGTCAAATGATATATCTTAATTCGGCCGTTTGGAAATGTAGATTCAAAYTTTAACCCTTTAACGTCCGCGATTTATTTTGGATTTTAGGTTGTTTTTAAGACTGATATTTCAAAAAAATAAATGCACCCCATATATGAGGGGTTGTCAATCAAACTATTGTAGATTCACATTCCTCTGAGTTTGTTTACTTGAGCGACGCCCGGCGAATTTGAAATTCACCCCAAAACCGTTTTTAAGTGATTTTTCGAGTCATTTGCTGYGACAGAGATRCCCCTAGGACTGCATTATGAAGCCCGACTAGGCGGCAGAGACACCCTTCTGGAAGAAATCAGAGGCGGGAAGCGATTTTTCGAAGACAATGTCGCCAATACGAAGTTAGCTTTGAATTGCCRACGTTAGAGAAAGGTCGCCTCCCTAGTCGYTCTGTGGCAGATTTCAGAAGGTACCAAGGTAAAATTGGCAAGTTTTAACATTCAAAGAATGCAATCGGTGCAATATTTTGTCTGTAGGTGCGAGTGGCTTGGCACTTAAAAAAATCTATGGAAACAAGAACGTTGGTTGCTCCCTGTCGAGTTTGAACCAGATTCCCATGATGCAAATCGGCCGCGCAATTGAGAAATTTGGAGAATGTGGCTAGATCTGTAGAGACTTCTACTAAACAAAAAATGCAAAAATACTAAAGACCTGGGATGGCCAATTTCAAAAAACGTTAAATTTCGATTTGCAAAAGATGATTTCGACTCTAAAACTGGAGACGAAAAGACGTGATTCCCAGCCTTATTGGTGCACCAAAAAGTCGAAATTTAGGCATTCCTATTTTTCAGGGGTGCATTTTGCCMAGTTATCGCRCTTGATRTGAAATCCTTTTAACTCTAAGATAGAGTTGTATTACTAGCTGTTGTCATGTCGCATTTGGTGGTCTTTATTTGCGATCTCGGAAACCGATAATCCCTAAAGCGGATGTTGAAGGGCTAAGCATTTTCCCGGAAAGTCAAACCGTTCTAATCGATAAAAATTTTGAGTCTATTTTGTATAGCGAACCTCCTTCCCAATTTGTTTCGGCGCTATTTTCCCGTTGTAGTGAAAACACATGTACTATTGAGACATTTAATTTCATGTTACTTGGTTCGTTTTATATTCTAATCTAGGACGAGAAACAAAAGCTTGAAGAATGCATMCAAGAAAAGACTAAAAGCCTGGAATCACWGACTAGCAARGTTAATAACATAAAAATARATAAAATAATAAAATATAAATTATATAATTATAATTTTATAAATAAATATAAATAATAATGCAATATGTCAATAGTACATGTCACTCTCGAAATTCCATGTGTCTGGAGCTTTATCGATGAAATACTACGGTGTTTATTTATTTCACGGGATATTTTCTTCCGTATTCCCGAGAMGCTTATTGTCTTTATCAAACGGTGCGTCCCATGCAGACTCCCAAAGCACTACATTTGACTGTTTTTTCCTGGCCCTATATTTTCAAAATTAA